TCTCTCTCTCTCTCTCTCTCTCTCTCTCTCTCTCTCTCGTTTCGCCGGTTTATTGAAAGTTCAGTAATTGGTACACTTATTGTACTAAACTGTGATGTGGACGTCCCTGGTTCAGACGTTCTTGAATAATATTATTTAGGGAATCTGTGTGATTCTTCAGTGTCAGATTTTGACGGTATTTAAAAAAAATTCCTGTCTCTTCTAAGACATGACATAAATAAAGTGTTTACCTATACTTGCCTTGAACGTAAAGTAAAGTTCTTTAGAGAGAGAGAGAGAGAGAGAGAGAGAGAGAGAGAGAGAGAGAGAGAGAGAGAGAGAGAGAGAGAGAGAGAGAGAGAGAGAGAGAGGCTGAAGAGCGGGATCTGGCAATGCATAAGATATATAGCCTATAATAGTAATAGGCAAATAAAAAACGTATCAAGATAAAAACAAAGAAAAGATAGGAGAGGGGTAGAGATGAGGACGACAGTACACAGACAAATGGTAAAACGGTCTATAAAGTCCGATTTTTTTCTTTATTGGCGATGGCAAATGTTCCACAAAGAAAAGACAAAGAATGCAGTGGCCAAAGTCAGCTTCAATTTAAAAAAGGAGTCCGATCCTGAAAAATAGAAACATCACAAAGACTACTAAAATAAGGATTCCAAAAGGTTAAGTGTGTGGTTGGCCCTTCTACAGCTATATTATATATTAATTCTGGATAATAATTACCTAATAATTATAATACAATGTAGTTGTAGTGAAAATAAAATAGCAGCTACAGAAATGTGTTGTTGTTGTTTTTAAAAAAAATAGAATTTCACAAACGAGAACAATTAGGAAGCGAAAAATGCGTTTTCTGAGACACTAAGTCTTGACATAAAGGCTTTGAAAATAATCTTGCTTTCACGGGAATAAATTATGGAAGGCAATGGCGGCATGCTGCTCGTTTAGTTTGACGGAAAAGAAAGCGGGCCTCTGCTACACCTCTTTTACGCTGCACTGGCTTCCTTTTGAGAAAATAATTATACGTAGGCTTACAAGTTGGCCACTCTATGTCACAAATGCTTGAATGATAATGTACCATCATTTTTATCAAATCTGTTGAGACTTCATTTCAACTTGCAGTTTAAGGTCATCAGCTGACCAAAAAAAACAACGTCTTTACCCACTTAAAAAACAATAGGTGAAAGTGCATGTTGAATATCAAGGCCCCATGGAATGCTTTGCCAAGTACTTTAAGAGAGATCAAAACGTCAGCTGAAGTCTTTTCTCCTTTTTAATTGATAAGATGAATATTTAGAGAGGTTTTCTTTTGGTCAGAATAGGTAGGCCTAAATTACGTTTTGTTATACAGCCTACGTATTGTTGATTGGAGCTTGCAGTGTACTTTAATCAAGGTTAAGCGCTATAAATGTATATTTTTGGAAATACAACAAGGTCTTAACTGTGTTAATACCTTCTTTATACAATGATGATGATGATGATGATGATGATGATGATGATGATGATGATGATGATGATCATAACCTTTACTAAAGGGCCTATTATTGTTAGGCAAACGGGGAAGGAGCGGCCGCAGATCCAGAGAAACGTATTTTTGTAAAATCTGAACAAATGGGAGACGTGGAAACACCAGGGAAATATGTGGAATATGTAAGAGCTTCCGTGTTGAGAAATGAAATATCGCCGATGTGTTTCAGATCTGGAAATTTATAATGATGATGATTAAAAAAAAAAAAATAGGGGAGGGGGAGGGGGTGGTATTGACGACAGAACTGATAGAATTTTGGTGGACTGGCCAGCACAGCTTGGATGCATTAAAAAAAAACCCACCGATTCTCTTAGATAGCTAATGAGCTATAAAGACAAAAAAACCCCAAAACAACCAAAGCCCATTACGCTGCCACTGAATCAGAGGAAGCGAGGTTTTTTTTTCTGGCTAGTAATGGACAGAATAAAAAGAAAATGGGCATAACTCTTGACAATTGGACCAAAATAATGTGTTCTATAATTTTGACCGTCAAGCAGGAAATGACGCACCCTTTGATGTCCTCTCACTCAGTGTGTTTAGTGTATAGTAAATTTTACTCATTCTTGAGTACGAAAGGACGGTGTGTTGAACACTTGACTTATGGAACAAATAATCTCTTGTTCTTCGACAAGGTACCCTTTTGTTGTTCGTTGAGTGTAATTATTGAATACAATTGATTTTGTATTTTTAAGGAAACGCTGCTAGGACCTTGTTTTTGTGTCAAAGCTTTGACCAGGAAACGGGAAGCTTTCGCCATTCGGCTTCGGAGTCCACCAGCGCCCTTCATTTTTTATAAAAGTAAAAAAAAAAACCCATGATAGATCTAGATCTAGATAGATCTAGACTAGATCTAGAATCTAGATCTAGATCTAGATCTATAGATAGACTCTAATATTGATGTTGTTGAGTTGATCTGTTTACAGTTTATTGTTTGAAATTGGAGTAGAAAAAAACCTGTTACAATAGAGACTACGTTGAGTTGTTGTCTGCTAGTGCTATTTCATCTCCTTTGATAATCAGCTGAATCATGAATGCTATACTATATAATACTGATCTATATTGATCGGTGATCTTGTAGTTCCGTTCGTTAAAGTCCACGATCCATTTGTTTACATCCAGAGAAGAAATCCAGAAGTCTTGAAGACCAAATATAATTTAGAATTAGGCTACACAAAGAGCAGGGATGCAACCTAACTGCAAAAAACATCAAATTAGGATAAAATTCAGGGGGGCATGCCTTTCTTTTATTTTGCCTGGCCTTCTGTGGTACATGATTCTGTTTTTGTCGGTTGTGATTGTGATATAATATTCGTTCACTTTTTCCCGGTCTGAGAGTACGTTTCACGCGAAAAGACGGCTATGGCGGCAGTCAGAAGTGTATGTGACACCGAGGGTCGATCAGGAAAATCAAGATCTACTTTCGCTTTCGTTACCACCAAGAAATTTGCCGGCGATAGGCTGATAGTGCAAAATCTGTATGCAGGTTGAACAGTATAAATGCTGTGTCGCCGTGCAAATGAAATTTAATCATTACTCGGACTCGTCACCGTTCTGTCACTTGTGTGTGTGTGTGGGGTTTGACAGTCACCCTGTGTGTATACATTAGGTCTAAATCTACCCCCTCCCCCTCCCCACCACCACCAGGGCAGTGTCACTAAGCGTCTTTAGGCTATTCCCAAAGGCAGGATATTAAAATGTTCTTATATGCACAGTAGAATTGTAAATATGGGCTGATTTATCAATGTCATGCTCATACTGTGCTGGAACAACATTAGGGCAACTGCTGCTTTTTCTGTCCTCTTCTTTACTATCATCATTTCCCTCTACTTCTTTTGCATGTTTGTCACTCTTGTGAACTACTATTTCCAGGGTGCCTTGATAGTCGAAGCTTGATTCCCCGTTTGGACTTCTCTGATGGCATCCACCCCTTGTCGCTCATATATGACCTATGCAGTTACTAAAACTAAATCTAGCTGTCTATCCTCCATTTTGTCGACTGAACTTTGTTGTGTGTTGTTTTCGTTCCACATATCTAGCATCTGCGTTTGTTGCCTTTTTTTTTGGCAGTTGCTAAAAAAGTTGCCATTAATTTTCAAGTTTTCTACTCTCCGTGACGACATAGCAATATGTTGATAGAGGTAACTTCATCTAAAACACTAGAATTTCTTGTGCTCTGTTTTAAGCATCCAGAATATCATTTGTAGCCACACAGAATTTAAAAACGTGAAAAATAAAGCTTTCACAACAAAATCGAATCAAAATTAGAACAGCAAATTAATAAACAATCACAAAAATTAGCAAATAAGGGCATGTGTCAGCCCATCCATAGATTGGCCGTTTTAAGTCTAAACCTGTGTAATTCGAGAAAAAGTACAGGATGTAACATGTAAATTATGGAATCACACACAAGGGGCCTGCCAGTGTCAGTATTCGGTTTTTCTGGAGATACGCTCGAACATAACACGTTTTTTAAAAATAGGTAGTAAGAACATTATGCTATACTATATACACAAAAAATAGAAAAACAACACATCAGAACAAAAGCGAGAAGAAAAACATTAACACCCAAACAAATTAAAACGCAACAAAGAGTGAAACATGAAAGAGAAACTGCTAAATAGTATCATGTAATGTAGCCTACTTATATATTCTTCACATGAAAATTACAAATCAATGTGGTGTTAACAAGTGAGAAAGACACGAAGTGAAGCGAAAGTGAAAATAAACTTTCTTTCTAAAAGTAAAGAGGTTCGATTTCTTTTTTTTTTTTGCGCAAATGTTATTCTCCGTTTTGTGGTTGTTGTTTTTAAATTATTTTTTCTTCCCGGTGGTGGTTTTTTGTTGAAAATTTTTTTTAATCCCGCGATTCGAGGACCAAAAAATGCCCAAAATCGCAAAAATCGCGGCTGCGACAAACACAGATAGATGCATAGTAGTAATAATAATATATTGTTGATGGCGCAAATGAACCCCCTTTTTCGAGCTGATGTGGGGCTTGATTTGCTGGGTAGTAAATTTTGTTTCCAGGTAGTAAATTTTTACAGAAAATATTGCTGGACAACCTGGAGAGAGAGAGAGAGAGAGAGAGAGAGAGAGAGAGAGAGAGAGAGAGATTGTGAAGTAACTTAGAACAGCGTAAATATCTTGCCCGCCAATGCGGAATGTTGACGGCCGTTGTTTACACGAGGGAAGTGGTGTGATGAGTTCACTGTTATTTGGATACTTTTTTCCGGCGAACTGTGTACACATTTTTCAGCTGTGTCGACTTCACCGTGTTTCAAGTTCACTGGTTCCCGTGTCAGCCAACCTATTACTGTTCTGATATTGGCTAGAGAATGACTTTAATTAAAATAATCTTTATAAATCTCAAAGGATTTTCAGCAGCCTTTTTTATTTGTTAACCTCTCACCTCTGCTATAAAGTGGAGTTTGGAAATTTTGGGAGCACATTTGAATAGGAAAAATCAGCCTAACATTTACATGTTAAGTTGGGTAGCAATGCAAGGAATTTTTTATGCTGGTTTTAGTTTAGTTGAAGGTCTATAGTGATTTTTAGAAAACACTCCTGTCTAGCTGGTTGAACCTAGCTTATCAATCATAAGCTTACCCTTATCACTGCAAAATTCTTTGATCTGAACAACACAGCAAAATGAAGCAATCCATCCGCATTATACCTCAATTGTGTACTCCGCCACCACCTTTGATCTAATTGCCGTGGCCAATCAGGAGGGACTTACATTGCGCTAGACGAATTATATTGCAATAGACTGGTTTATTGGGTGGGACTTACAGTACTTTGACATCCGTAGCATGGTAGACTTAAGTCCATTTGCGTGTGAAATTTCCCTCATATGTTTATATATATCCAGTTTGACCATGCATTTTTTTTCCTTCCATTCATTTCCCTCAAAGTTTCGAGCCCACGTTTCAATCAATTACTTTTAGAAGTTATTTGAAAATGGGTTTTAAAAAAATAATGTACAATTTTGGGTCATTTTAAAAAAATGTTTATTTTTCCAACTTTAAATTACATCTTTTTCTTTACTTTTTACTGATTGAATGGCTTCATTTTTTACACGATGTACATCCGAAGGTAACCTTTACTGAAATAGAGGCGTTTTTTAAGATAACAGGAAAATAAAATTACAATCAGTGTTTCTGTTGGAAATTTTGAGGTTTTTTGCTTGTCCATAGTACATATTTCCAGAGTCCATAATTATTTTAATAATCGTAATATTACAAATCTGGCATTATTTGTTCATTATATATGTGTAGTAGTATGTACTTGCTAAAAATGAAAGCCAATAGATGAAAACTGAGAGAGAAATAGCTTTTGAAATTTGATGAAATTATCCAATGTGGCAGATGTTTGCTTGGTTACCAGTGACTAATATAGGGCCTAAGTATATCATCGTTGCTACATTTAGTCAAGGGATATGAATTTTAGAAATTTCAGTAGCAGATGGCCTTAAACTATACTGGCACGAAATTTATTATTTTTTTTTCTGTGTCTTTAGCAACTAGCTCACAAGGGATTCTATTCTGCTTTTAAATCGCTCCTTTTCATTCTGGTGGTTGGGGGACACTGGTGCTTTTGAGTATCAGTTCGATCGTTCGACATTGCACCCATAGAAGGTGAGATTGATTGCTGAATGGGCAAGTTTTTCGTGGAATATCTCTGTCTGCCTACTATGATCTTGTATCCTACTCTATCCTGATTTGCCCTGACTGACAGGATCAAAGAAGCCCACTTTCAAAGTGATCTAAGCTGTGTTCATCATCATCGTCATTGCCTTCTCACCCTGGGTCAGGGTATCTAGGCCACGAACAAACACTTTCTGCCTTTCCCTATAAGCTGTGTTGATGGGGCGTTAAACATTTACTATCATTGAACATTATAATTTTAGTTGGAAGTGGGTGCTGCTGGTCCAAGTATTTTTTTGCTCTTTACTTTTTTTGTGTCTGTCTCTCGTACTTTTTCCTTGCACTCACTCAGTGTGATTCAATGACCATTGTTTTGATGCACTTCACTTTACTCAAGCTCAGGCTCATTTTAATTGTTTGATGACTTGTTTTTGACCATGATATCAATTATAAATTAAGTGTTGGCAGTGGTATTTATTGTTTTTTTGTTTTTGTTTATTTTTTTAATTTGAAGAGACGATTATTAACATTGAAGCAGTGGTCATAAAATGAATATATGTGTCACGACGCGGTGGAATCAGGCGCTCGTCAATTTTTGGGCACAAGGAGTTAAAGGTATATATTTAAAGCTTGTGCATATGTCTTGCTTTCGTTGAAAAAAAAAAGCTCATCTATCACGAATAGAAGTCGAGATATTTTCGATTGAAGGAGGTGTGGGTCACCTGATTTCAGAGGTAAAATTAGCGAGAAAATGGTCGCCAAAGTTTGACAATTTCAATAGCTTGAGAGTCCTTGAAAACGATCAAATTACAAACTTTGTGCTTCTAATCAACGTGTTTCTGTGAAGTTCACATGGAAATGTGTTTTTATATGGACACGAAAGGTACTGAGCCAAAAAAGAAAAATTGAATAAAAATTGTCAAACACACAGAAGAACTAATATTTCTTCGATTCCATTATTTTGATGAGCACCTGATTTCACCACGCTGCCTCACATACGATAAAAGTATAATATTTATAAAGTAATTGTTTTCTTGGCAAGTTAGTGGTACTCTTTTAAACTGAAATAAATACTTTTTTTTGTCCTGGGTCCTGACTTTGGGCAGCTGATAAGTTGTAATATTTTAATGAAATGTGGTACTTTTTGTTTGATTGTTCAATATATATAAATCATAATTATTGCAAGAGATAATTACACATTTTATTGGAATTAATTGATGGTCTGTCACACCAAAATTTTGAAACCTATTATCACTACAATATTTTGAAAGAAAAAAGATGTTCTAGTATATATGTATATGTGTGTATATATATCTATATATATATATATATCTATATATATATATATATATATATATATATATATATATATATATAGATATATATATATATATATATATATATATATATATATATATATATATATATAGATATATATATAGATATATATATATAGATAGATAGATAGATATATATATAGATAGATATATATATATATATAGATAGATATATATATAGATATATAGATATATATATATATAAATATATAGATAGATATAGATATATAAAAGTGGACTTGGGAGATTTTGTGCACAAACTCCTCCCTTATTACCTAACCCACACCTTTGAAACTTTGCAGGCGTCCCCAGCATCCATGTGGCTAGGACCTAAGTTTAAAAAATCTATGCAAACTGCTTTCCCTGATTTTTCCAGAATGCTTTGTTTCGTCCACACAGAATCTTGGGAAAGTCCGTCTTCTAAGACGCCATTGTAAACAAGTGAGGTTTCCGTTCACTATTCGTGCGCACTGACCCACACCTTTGAAATTCTGGAGCGCACAACCACAAAAGCGGAATAGAGAATCAATCTATACATCTATTATAATATATTTGGCAACTTGGAAACACATGTGTCACTTTTCTTTCAAGATTTATTGCTCCATTTGAGTAGAGTGTAGGCCAATGACTTTCAGTTTATATTAATGCACCGATCATTCTTTCATCGAAAGGGGGCCCAGCTTGTTGTGAATAAAGGCTTTGTTAGATCAGGCTGAAAGTGGAACAGAATACATTCTCTTGTGTATTTTCTCTTTTCAGGAATGTGATGGTTAGGTGAGAGGATTCTCTGGGACAGGAGGAAAGTCAAAAGAGAAAAAATGCACTGACTGATTGGCCAAGTCACTGTCTTTATTTGTGTGTTTGGAAGGTGGAAGGGACCAGGTTGTAAATGAGCGATCCTTCAACAAACTCACAAATGGTGTGCGGAGATGCGCACCAGAGGAGACACACAGATCTGTCCGTCTCGAGCCCCTCGGCCAGCGAGCTGAGTGAGGCCATCTCTGACATGAGTCTGTCTACCTCTCCTGGCAGCGATGTGCCCCGTGCAGCCTCTGAGTCCATCAATGTGTCTTCATCTCCTAAAAACGTGCAGCCACCACCTGCCCGGAAGAGGATGGTGGTGCGGCAACTGTCCTCAAATCCTTACCTGGCCAGCTCTGAAATGTCCCCATCGGAGGACCATCCCACCATCACCGGGTCAAACTCGTACGCTGAGGGAGAAAGCAGACAGTATCTTGTGAATGGAGACTCATTTGATGATAATGTGTTTGGGAAGTATTTTGAAAATGCCTTTTCATTACGTGCCAACTCGTACCCTCTTACTTCTGAAGTCATAGCTGACAGCGATGAGGAAGAAGAAGAAGAAGATGAGGAGCAGATCAAACCGGATGAATCTTTTGGCTCTCTGTTGACCTCCATCGATTCATCCAGCGAAAATGCTCACAGTGACAAGACTCCGTTTGAGGTGCAGGAAAAATGTCCAGAGACTGTTGTTACTCCCTCAGAGAAATCTGTGCTTGACCCAGTTTCAGCAGCAGTTTCTGCTCTTGATCCAGCTGTTCCACCAGCTGTCAATGAGTCCATTCAGCAAACCAATCACTCAACACAACGACACCATAATCGGCATTATAATCATCATCATCATCGACATCATCACCATAGTTCCTCCCACCTCAACAACAGTGCACAACGTCAGAGTTGTCAGCATCACAACAACAGCTACCATTCCCAAAATCCTCAGCAGCAACAACAGCATCCTACTCATCATCGTCATTCCTCCCATCATCACCACCGCCATCGGCAACAGCAGCAGCAGCAGCAACAACAACAACAACAACAGTCATCAAATATGAATGTGAATAGCCTCACTGATTTCAACCCTTGGGAGGCTAGTTCGGAAAGTACAATCAATGCTGTGAACTCGCATGCAAACGAAATTCTCCTGGCTGGTGGCACCGCCACTGTGCTTTCTTCCTCCAAACTCTCGTCCTGGAAGAGGACAGAAAGACGCGTGAACACGGTGACCACTAGCCAGCCTCCCCAGAGTCGGGAGATTAGCTCATGGGGACACTTTTCCCGGCCAGTGGACAGCCATTACAAATACCGTCGCAGCCACTATACGAGCGACAGTGAGGAGGAAGATGCTCCAAGCGGCAGGCGGAGTCACGGTAAGCCGCACACCAACAGGTCAGTCTCCAGCAAGTCGCATCTGTCCACATGTAAGTGTGTGAACCATCGCTCACCTTCCCAGTCCCCATGTGTGCACCGGAAAAGCTTGGCCAGTGCGGCTCAGGGCTCTGCTGACCGCAAAATGCTGCAGAATGGAGTGAAGCCAAACATCTTCAAAGATCGGTTCCATGTGAGTATTGTATTCCAAACATTAAAGAGCTGTTCCCTATGAGTATTATATTCCAAACGTCTTTAGAGATTGGTTCCATTTGAATCTTGTGTTGATATCAATAGCTCCTCTGTGCTTTGTTCAATTATGTAATGATTTATCATTTGTTGCATATATATATGGAAGTCCTGGAAGGTAACTGAAGGTACTCAAAGGTAATTTTCAGCTCCATTTCTATTTTGTGTGGCGGGTGGTTGAAGCTTTTGCTTGAGATTGAGTACTGTTGGAGGAGTATAAAGAATAATGAGAAATAGGAAATCGTGTCTCATAACCATTGCTTTGTTGGTCTGCTTTCAACAGAAAGTTCTTAAATCTTGTGACAAAACTTCATACATAGCCCCTAGTAGCAAGTTACAATGTGTTAAATAAACTTTTGATTGATATGTGATTGAATGTTGGAGTATATGTTTGATAACTTTCTATTGAAATTGTTATTTTGTTGCTTTTTGAAACAGGTGATGAAGAGGTGGTTTTCAGAATGCAACGATGGTCAAAAGAATATTATCTTGAAGGGTTTACTGGTAAGTCAGTATTGCTATGTTTTTATTTTAAGATACACCGGAATTCCCACAATTTCAAGGCTTTTTGCTATGTTACAATAAGCTCTTTGTTTTAGTAAAAGCTTTACAGGGTTCTCAAATGCATAAGGTCATATAAGCACGTGGCTCACACATTGGCTGTATCCACGTTTGTTCACAGCTCAGCTTGGTTTTACAGGATGGATGTGTTATATTCTTCTTTTGGTCTTAAACAAATTCCTGTTTAGCTCTTTTCCTAGCTTACTAAATGCTAATGTGGCATCGGTGTCCTGATGGTTAGGCTTTCAGACTGGCAACCGTAAGGCAGTGGTTTAGAAACCCGTCAGGGACCCAACATTTTGTTATGGGGAAAGCAGTTTATTAGTGTTTGCGCACTTAATCAGCTGCTTGCACTGTATGCTTCCCGGGAAGCTGAAAATGTTTCTGAGTGTTCTTATCTATAGTCTGCTGTAATAATGAAGTGTAAAGCGCATAGAGCTTGCTGGCAAGTGGGGATACTTACTTACTACCCGTTACGCCATCTGGCGTTTAGGGCAGCAACAAAGGATCTCCAGCTCTGTTTGTTTTGGGCCATCTTGTTCAACGTCCCCCACGAATGGTTCCAGGACTTCATTTCAGACTCTACTGTGCGTCTCTAGGTCACTTTGGGTCTGCCCCTCTTGCGATGTCCTTCGGGTGTCCAGTGGAGGATATATGCGCTATACAAATGCTATTTATTATTATTAGTAGTAGTAATACTCTATAACCATCTCTTGCACGTTTCTCCTGTCTGTTCCATCTTTGTGTGCAAGCTTTGTTGGCTGCTTCCTCTTTTCTGTGATGGTCGAGGGATAAGTAAAGTGCTGTTTTTTTGGGTGTGTTTTTTGCTCTCTTTTCATATTTCCCTGTTTGTGTGCACACCACTGACTCAGAATAGCAATGTTTAGTGTCAAGAGATGTTGTGGTCATCTTCAGCTTCACCTTCTGCTCATGGCCCTTTTGGGGTCAAAAGGTTTTAAAAAAAAATCACTTCCATACAAGTCACTTAGATTTCTGGTATGTTTCAGAGAACATACTTCATCTTGTGCCTCTATAAAAATGTGTACAGGGCTGTAATCTTCAGTTCTTTCCTTCTTTCTGTCTGTCTCAGACTTCAGCAACCTGACATGTAATAACCTCCCACACTGTTCGTCTTTCCCTTGCATGGCTTGGCATTTACTGCCCTGTCCTTCTTGTGTTAATGCCCCTAGCTTTCAGTATAAATTAACCCATCCTCTTTTTATTTTTGTGTGCCTCCCCCCCCCCCCCCCAAAAAAAAAAAAAAAAAAAAAAAATCCCTCCCAGAGTCTTTGTGAACTGCCCCAGCTGCACCTACTGTCAGTTCATATGTCGAAGGAGCTGCACCATGGCTGTCCATCCAACTGTGAGGACATTCTCACCTGGCTGCCCACTGACCTCGCCACCAAGGTCATGTCCTACCTCGACCCAGGTAATGTGCACTGGTTTGTGTTTACGTTGTATCGTGTTTGTCGGAAGCATGGGCAGTTGGAGGATGCACCTGTGATTTTTATGTTTTTGCGTCTGGCCTTCTCCTTGTTTTCCTGGAACATCCAAGTGTCGCTATGCTTCTGTCAAAGCTCAAACTCAAATGTTTTTTGTTTTTTTTATCATGAGGGCTGCATATTTTCCTTGTGGAGGTTTCTAGAGTTCTGGTATCCTTATGCTGCATGAACGGCGGATAATGACGGGAGTGTGTGGTGTAGCTGTTAGGTGCTGTGCTGTTGCACAGAGGAGACCAGAGTTGGGTTCCCGAGGGGGGGGGGGGGGGGGGGGGGGGCGAATTTTTATTGAGTATCTCAGCCTTTCTGTTGGGATGTTGTATTCCTCTCAGCTCAGGTTGTCGTGTAAAGGAAGGGTCAGAAGCCCACCTCCAAAATAATTTAAATTGTGTCGATGGGGGGAAGGGTGTAAAAAAACCTATATTTAAAAATGATGTAAAAACACCTACATTTACAACCAAAAAAACCCCCAGTCCTGTTAACTCCAAGTTGGGTGTAATGGTATTTGGTAAACATACATCATGTATATTTGTGTAGATGTGCTTGGAATAACATCAGCTTTTTTAAAAAGAATATTTTGTTTGTCTCTTTGGCAGTGAGTCTATGTCGTGCAGCCCAGGTGTGTCGTGTGTGGCGCAGTCTGGCGGAGGACCAGTCACTTTGGCGGCGCTTCTGCTGCCAGGCCAAGTGGCGACTGTCCAAAGCGGCCGAGCACAAACAAGTCATCAGTCACATGTGTCCTGAGGGCAGCATACAGGTCAGTGGGTGGTTGGCAGGTGCTCTGATGGGGTTTGCTCCTTTTTCTTCTATCCAACATCTGTCATCTGTATCTCTCCTCCTTCTTCTCTTTGTATTTTACTCTCTTGTAATACCCCTAATCGTCGGCACCTATATGACCTATTTGTGTTGCGAGTGCCGTAAAAACATTTACTAGAAAAATACAGGTCAGTTTCAAGGTGCACTTAGGGGTGTACATGTGGGGGGGGGGGGGGGGGGGGGGGGGTACCTTTAGAATCTTAGAGGTTGTGAGAGCGAGGGATTGTGAAGGAGTAGCGTGCACTGTCATTGATCCTGTGAGAGAAGCTCTACCCCTTCTTCAGGTGATGTGGGATATACTGTGGTCTTTGAAACAAGTCTTCTTTACTTACTTTGATGTTTTTGGGGAATGAAATTAAATGCAGTTTTAGTGCAAACATCGTCTTTTCAGTTTCTCACCCTTCAAATGTGGTCAGGGGAATAAAAGAAAAAGTGATTGTATCATCTGAAAATAAAATTTATCATGGTTACTTCCAAGAGAAGTCTTCAGTGTTTACTGTGCCACATATCAATGAAACTAGCAATGACTGTGGCAAAATGAATTGATCTCGCAATGAAACATTTGTTCTGGTTGTGTATGAGTACAACAATGGCTGTTTGGAAAGTATGAATTCATTAGGGTTCAGGTCAAATCTGGATAAATTATTGAGCTTTTTTTCGTGATTCACGTTTTACTATTCTGTTGTACTTTTTTTTATCACAGATTTTAAATAGGAATAATTAGAAAGAAGGTTGTGAAAGACCTATCTCAGCATTGACCTACTTTTTAAAAGGTTTGCTTATAAGACGAAATGAAGCTTCAGATTCTTTATTGTTTGTTTCAGATGAAAAATGTTAATTAATATTATTTATTCTTATTAACTTGTCGTATATATTTTTACACTTGTTTTTTTTTTCTTCCCCAGTGGAAAAATGTGTTCGCTGAAAGATTCAGATTACGCAACAACTGGCTCAAGGGAAGGTGTACAGTCAGGACATTTGAGGGACATTTGCAAGGTACGAGATTGTGGTAGTCAGATCCACCCCCTGGGGCGGTGCTTCTGACTGAAGTGTCTTTAGGCCTTTCGCAAAGGAGGGACATGAACATGTTCTTATGCGCAGTAGAATTGTAAATAGGCTGATTCACCAATTACATGCTCATAACTGTGCCTGAACTGCAACAGGGAACGCCTGCTTTTTCTTTCCTAATCCCTACTATTGTCATTTTTCCTCTTCTTCTTTTGCGCCACTATTTCCGGGGTGCCTTGATAGTGGAAGCAGACTTAGTGCTGTTGAAGCTAAAGAGGTGAGCAGAGAAATCCTGATTCCCTGTAAGGACTTCTCTTTTGACATTCACCCGTTGGCGCTCGTATGATCTTATGCAGTTGTGAGCACCGTAAAACCTTACTTAGAAAAAAAAAGTATTCAGATCATAAAAAATGTAGAATGCTTCAAAAAATGTACTGTTATGATAAACATTTCTAATTTCTGCTTTTTTGTAAGATATGCATGTCACATGAGTCATGCTGTTTTGGTACGACTATTTTTATGTTTTTATTTTCTTGTGAGTAGCTAACACAGCTGGTGTATTATAATCTTCCATATTTTACTTCGTCTTAATTTATTTTGAAAATAACAAAAATGTGTATCGTACAGCCTTTATGCATGTCTTATCTGTGTTGCTCTGATGTGCATTATGTGTTTTATGCACTTTTCAACACAATATGGTTGTTTAAGACATGTGTTTGCTTGCTTTGATGCCTTTAGAGGTACTTAATAAAATGCAGTTTCTGGTCATGCAGAAAATATGATGTCGTGCATCCTCTATTTTAGGCTGATCGGTGTATGGGACCAATGAAACCACCTCGAGCTACAACCCAGCTTCTTTGATTTACTAATGTTTCAATCAAATACATACAGTACTGAAACATGCTCACCTTCCCACCATGGCACTTTACCTGCTTTTCCCATTTGGCTCTGTCTTTTCGGAGATGGATGTTAAACTCGGAGGTACTGCCTCTTAAGTACCCTAAAAGTGTTGATAGGGGCGGGGCGTTAAACCTTTACCGTTTCATAACTGTTTTATCTTCCCACCATTTAGGTATTTCCTGTGTCCAGTTTGATGACTCTCGGATTGTCAGTGGATCCTCTGACAAGACCATCAAGGTATAGCAACCTTGCCACTGATTTTGAGAATGTTGCTATTATTTCCTCCTCTGTCCTTGAAACTCTTTGTCTTCTGATCCACCATGTCATTGCTGTCTCCAGCTTGTTCTCAGTGCTGCTTATAGACTTTCAATACTCACATCCGTATGAAAGATATGACCAAGTACAGATTATCAGTGGGTGGTTGGCGGGTGCTCTGGAGTGGTTCGCTTCTTCTTTCCTATCAAACATCTATCATCCTTATCACCTCTTCTTCTTTTTTATGTTTGCTACTCTCTTGTAACACCTCTTATCGTCTGGCGCTCATATGATCTTATGCAGTTGCAAGGGCCATAAAACCTCTACTAAAACTAAAAAAACAGATTATTAAGACAGGAATTTGAGACCTTCAGGAAGGTCAAAAATTGAGATGGGTGGTTGGAGGGCATCACTGGTAGGTCCTGCTTATTTTCTTTTCCTCTATTGAAACAAACTGTTGAAGTGATGTTGCTTTTTCTCTGCACCAAATGGCCGGTATTGTTTCTGTGCTTCTTGTCACTCATACTCAAAATTTGATGCTTTTGTTAAGTTTGCAATGGATGTACGTTTTTCACACACAAAATCATTTCGGCTCTGAAAGACTGCCAGAGCCAAGGATTCTTTATTGTTTTCAAATGTGGTGTTTTTCCGTTGATAGATTGTCAATTTAAAAACATTTTTTTGGCAAATACACAGCACAAGGATTTGACTCTTTGATATTTTTATCCCAAATTTTGTTTTCGCTTTGTAGTTGCCTCCCTTTGTTAAAATTGTTGCCCACCATTACTGTTCTGTAGCTGAAATAAAAATGACGTGAAGTTTCTTTGAAAACATTTTCTTTTGTTTTAACCCTGTTGCTCTTCCTCACGTTTTCTTTCTGTTCCTTGTTTGGAAGAAGTTTAGGGGGGCATGTTATAAAAACATCTTTACAAAACGTGTAAACCCTTTTTATTCTCTCTCTCTCTCTCTCTCTCTCTCTCTCTCTCTCTCTCTCTCTCTCTCTCTCTCTCTCTCTCTCTCTCTCTCTCTCTCTCTCTCTCTCTCTCTCTCTCTCTCTCTCTCTCTCTCTCTCTCTCTCCCTCCCTCCCTCTCTACCACCCCCCCCTCTCTCTCTCTCTCTCTCTCTCTCTCTCTCTCTCTGTCTCTCTTTCTCTCTCTCTTTCTCTCTCTCTCTCTCTGTCTCTGTCTCTCTCTCTCACTGTGTCTCTCTCTCTGTCTGCGTCTGCGCGCTCCTTAACAGGTTTGGAACATGCGCACCAACGCACCATGGTCAGTGCAGACGCTTATGGGTCACCACGGTACAGTCCGATGTCTACACCTGGAGGGGAACCGACTGGTCAGTGGGTCCTGTGACACCACCATCAAGGTGAGTGCTTTGGTTTGGTTAGGGTTTTGGGGGATTTACACAGTTAGAGGCTGTAGGGGTCCTGTGGTTGTGATGTTAAGACTTGGTTTCAACGGCTGCTCAGTGGGTCATAGCTTCCCAGCTGTGAGAAGAATTAAATACTTTTCTTTGAATTTGTGAAATATATTTGGAAAGATTTTGCTGTTCGTTTATGTTCTAGATGCTGTATGTATTTCACTTATTGAATCCACATTATCTTTGCTGTATAAAGGAGTATAAAGTTGCCACTCTTACTCTTTGTGTCAATACAAGGTGCCCTTGTGCCAGAAGACAAGTATTATGCACTTAGCTTCATAAATTAATTTAATATCTACAAATTATTTTTAAATCAGCTTTGTAAATACGGCAGTATTATATGTGTCCTAAAATATCCTTGTGGAACTTTTGGGCGGTAAACGCAGCTTATGCCATTTTACTCTCTCTTGGTGCTGGCTGGCAAATGCTGCATTTAGGTCCTTCTTGTCTTGGAAGGCTTTCATAAACTTTAGCGTAGAAAACAACACCAGAAAAGTATATGTGAATGGTCTCCCTTTGCATTTAGTACGGTATAAGAATCGTTTTGGTGGATGATATATGTAGCATAGTAGACTTTTTAAATAGCTTTTTATCCAGACCAATCTTTCTCAAATTAATCCGCCACCCTTGGGAATTTTTCCCTGCCAGAAATCTGCCACCCAAAGAGTTAATGTTTTCAGAAATGTAACAGAAAATGCCGTCATGACTGTATTGGCCAAAGCCGTGAAGTTTCGGTTTTCTTGTGCCCTTCCCCCAACATAAAGTTGTGTCTGTTTGTGAGTCTTGGCCTAGGTGAAACAAAAGGTTTTCCTGATTTTCACATTTTTGGTCAGCCTTCACTAAAGTGAGCCGTTACCATGCTTAAAGATGTGCTGACCACGTCCTGTATTGGGTTATTTTTATCCAGGTTTGGGATTTGTCAACTCAGGAGAGCTGGTCGTCCATTGCCTGTAAGGTGACCATGACTGGCCACACGGACACAGTGAGGTGTTTACAGGTAGGCAAAATATGATGATGTAAGAATAACAGTAGGGACAGTAGAAAAATGCTCCACACCTGTTTGGAGTGTGAACCTTGTTGACTCAAGAGTGCTGTGCGAAGGTTTTTAATTGAGCAGTTACTTTTACTTTTGTTGTAAATATTCAGAAAAAGGTGTGTTTCCGAAGTGTGGGGTGCTTTTTTTAAAGTCCTGACTAGTTTCTCTAATCCTTCATTCTTGCAATTTTAAATTAAAATTTGTAAATAAAAATGCACTTCTCAAAAGGGTCAGGAACTGGAGATATGTTCCTTTTTTGTCATCTTTGAACACTGGAAGCTTTGGTCCAGAAGCTTACGGCATAGTATTTTATAACTGTGAATGTTTGTACAGGTCTGACAAAATTGTATATAAAACCTAGTTCAGGGGATTTAACAACAGATTTTCCAATGAAATTCTTATACCTAGGGTATGATGGTGGATGTCGGTATCTAACTTGGTAAGAGGAAAAAAAACCGTGGCATTTGCTGGTCTACTAACAAGCAGCAGTTCTATGATTCCGTTGGGATTGTTTGATTACAGTAAATTTTGCATGAGTTTGTTTTTCTATGTTATCTGATCCTCTTGAATAAATTTTTTAACGATATGTTCATTTTTTTCAGCCCAAATATGAAAAACAAAACCTTGTTTAGTTATTGATTTTGTTTTTTCCTAACTATAAACAGGCGGATGATGACAAAGTGATCAGTGGGTCATATGATAAAACTTTGAAGATATGGGACCTCAAGTCTGGAGTGTTGAGAAGAACATTGAGGTGAGCCCAGCATACAGGATTCTTTTCTTTCTTTCTTTTGTAACGTTCATGAATCCAAACATTGTAGCTTTATGTAAATAAATTGTTGGATTTCGTAAATAAAGAATGTGTAAGATTTTTTGCATGGTGTTGATTTCATCTTTAAGATTATTTTTGCATTTTGATTTTACCCATTTTAGTTTCTTGAAAACTTCCTGCGCGTTGTGATTTTGAAATATTTGGATGGGGAACTCATCTAAATCAGAAATAAAACACTTTACATTGCCTCTCATTTCAGTGGTCATCAGGCATCTGTTTTGTGTGTGCACTTCAGTGAAACGAAAATTGTGTCTGGATCAGCTGACAAGACGATAAAGGTGAGAGTAGTATTGATGGATTAATATTAATTGATTCTCTAAAAATTCATATATATGACTTTGCCAAATACATTTTGCTGGGTTGATTTTCAACCTGCGTTGAATTGAATGTTTTGGGCGAGCAAGTTGGGATTGGATCAGTGGCCATGGTGAAGGAAGCTTCTCCGACAACAACTGAAGCAGACAGGAAGGCTGTAATGTCCTGCTGGGTTTTTTTTTCATATTTATTAGAATTATTGCCAGTGTTTCAGTAAAATTGGTCCAAACTTATACAGTCGCTAAGAGAAAAATTGACATTTTAGACAGGTGGTCCCAGTGGACAGTGCCATTTAATAATCACATGTAGAAGCAATTACTTCTGATCCCTTCTTCTCGTTGCGTTTTTTCTCAAATATTATATTATGATATTTGGAAGAAAAAAAAACGCAAGGGGGCAGAAAGGATTGGAAGTGGTTGTTTCTACTTGTGGTTATGTTGTACAGATGGTCATTAGAGCAAGTTTGACTGTATTTAATTACCCAGTCTATTTGCTTTTCTTGTCTCCCTCTCTGGCATCAAGGCATTCCTCCTACTTGACTTGCTTCTGTACCAGTTGGACTTTGGATGTGAAGTGTGGGTGGTTGGCGGGTGCTCTGACATGGTTTGCTCCTTCTTTCCTATCAGACATCTATCGTCCTTATCTCTCCTCCTTTTTTGTGTTAACTACTCCCTTGTAATACTTCTAATCTTCGGCACTCATATGACCTTATTGTGTTGTAAGTGCTGTAAAACTCTTACTGAAACAAGAATATGAGGTGTTACCCATATTATACGACCTCACACTGTTAAAAAAGGCAGTTAAATATTTTGGGTAATATTTTTTGTACATACAGCTTCCTTGGAATTACTAAGTTCTATCTGACATTTTTGTCCGTTTTGAGTTCCTAAGACCATGAGGTTAAAAACTAAATGATCTATCGGCTCTATCAAAATTGTAAGATTGTTCAGGAACTCAACGTTTTTATTGTCAAATGTCTCAAAACTAGGTACTGAGCAGATAAAACTTTGTAATTCTAGGGTAATGATACTATGCACTAGAGTCTGAACTGACTGGTTTGTGTCTAGTAAGGAATTTGACCTTAACCTTGCTCTCATATTGTGTGTTTTTGTTTACCAGCTGTGGAACTATGACGGTCGCTGCATGATGACCTTACGAGGTCACCAGGATGCTGTCACTTGCCTCATGTTTGACTCCACTCGGGTGGTCAGCGGCTCCCTTGACCACAACCTCAAGTTCTGGGACATCCACACGGGTGACTGCCTCAACACCATCGACTGGAAGAAGGCGGAGGGCCACACAGATGTGGTGCGCTGTCTGCAGGCCGACAGTTGGCGGGTGGTCAGTGCAGCTGACGACAAAACTATCAAGGTGAGAGGGGGGTCTGGATAGCATGGCGGAAGTTAAGATGATTGAGTGAGACCGGAGAAGGGGAGTTGGGGATCAGCGTGGTTAACTCTTATTAGCCAGAATTAATTTTATGGATTTTACTGAACAGCCAGAATTAAATCTGTGCTGTCATTTAAATTTGTGAAAGTTTTGGTATCATTGACATTTTTTAGATGTAGATCCACCTTGTTTACTGTGCCCAAAAAATTAACCATTGGGAAGCGAATAGTTATATTGAATACACACTAAGCTGGTGTACTGCAGAGTAATTTGTTAACAGTCTTGATTTGGACAGTGACTTAGGATTCTTGATCCAGAATTGTGAGTGACACAATGTGCTGCTTCTCAAAAGATACCTCTTCAAGCTTTGAATTCTCACAAAGAAAGGAAAAATGTCTATTCTTAACTTAACCAATTGTATGAACATGGATTTGGAGGACTGGACGTAAATTTGTATTTAATTTTTTTTTTTCTTGCTCAGGTATGGAACCTGGCAACCGGCGAACGTCTGGTGACGCTTCGGAACCACACAGATGGCGTCACGTGTCTTCAGTTCAACGACTTCATCATCGTCTCAGGCTCTTATGACAAAAGTGTCAAACTGTGGGACTTCAGTTGCTGCTGACTGAGTGGGAGTGACTGGCAGTGGCTCACAGTGCCGGGACTCAGACTTACAATGACTTTGTTCTGCCTTGTGATGACTCTCAGTGATAGCATAGCAGCTGTAAAGAAGAACAACATGAGTGCATCATGTGTGCAGCTGGTAACAGAATGAGGAAGTTCACAAGGAGATATAAAGCAAATGACAAATCTTTATCGTTGGTCGTGGCGGACTTCTAAGGTAAAGAGCAGCGAGAGCAGACCTTGGAACTGTACAGGGGGGAAAAACAGCCATCAGCCTGGCCGTGACATATCTCAAAGTCCCCTTGAGAATCATCGAGATCTGTTGTAGTATCCAATGAATTTAAATGTTGATTCACGTCAGAACTAGCTGCACTCTGATCTTCACCACCCTGGTGACATGGGCTCAAATTTGCTCATGAACTTTGGTTGCCAAGACAGTTTCTACGGGTCTCCTGTCCCCCCATGTTGTTTTGGAGATGAGCTTTACATTGGAAGTCCATTAGCTTTACAGCGGAGGTCCCTTTTCTTCAGTAACTTACATTGTAGTGTTGAGTTGAGAGTTTTCCTTGCACTCCAAGTATAAGGACCCATGGGATAAGGAAAACTTTATACAACTGTACACAATTGTTTCTTACACAATGGCTGTGGTTTTTTTTTGATGACGCATAATGTATCCTGCCACTTGAATGGCTCGAGGAAAATGTTTAGAGTACTTGTGGCAGATTGATATTCTTTTCTTTGAGCACACGTGTTCATATGTCTTTATGACTTGGCATGGAGGGCAACATATTTCCGTACATGGTTCTCAGGTGACTGTCACTTTGCTGTTTTTCCAGGTGAAGGGACAGGTCTATTGTCTGCCTTATTGTGTCAGTCTTGGCTCTGGATGTTCCAAAATCCTCGGGTGTACAAAGATTTTTTTTACCTTCTGTGTTTGTTAGTGTAGGGGAACTGGAGTCTTGAGCTGACGATGCGATTTAACTTTTGTGATGATTTTAAGTGTTCTTGCTGCTCTCTTAGAAGGAAAAACAAACAAGAGAGAGGATTCTTTTCTTTTTTTTTTTACCTTTAGTCTCTTAGGCTGCCCTTAAATTGTTAATGACTTTATTTCCAGTGAAAACTGGTTCAATGGCTCTTTTGCTACTTGTTTGTTTGCTTGAATACACGCACAAACTTGCTTCCTTCACACAAACTTAGTCCTCTCGGTAGTTAGTAATCAGAATGCCTTACAGTAGTCTTGCTCAATTTGTATGTTTAGACGACATTGAAAGTTGTTGATAAATCTGTACTTTTATAAGGAGATGGAAAAAGGAAAAACTAGAATAGTTATTAGACAGCAAATGTGAAAAAATGTTTGATTTTATTTTTATTCTTTTTTTTTTTTTGGTAGCCTTCATTGCTTTCTTTTGTGGTCTCAGTTGCCTACTGCAGCACCGTATGTTCATCGGTGGTCCCCGTAAAGAAGTCGTTAGAATGTCTAAAATGTCCCGAAACAACATTATCTCCTTACTTTTTTTTCATCAATCAGTTGCGTGCAGAGATAAAAATCAGTTTGTTGAGTGATGACAACATTGTTTATGTTTTTGTTGAGCATCCACGTAATGACCAGGTCCTTGCTATTTGTTTGTTTGTTTTTTTAAACCTGTACAAATCCCTCTCTCAGTATTGTATTTGTATGTTTTTTTGTTGTTTTTCTTAAAATCATGTGTACTCTTTGTTGTTGTTATACAATTTATTGCATTCTCAATTGTTATAGTGATGACATACTCTCCATCTCCGACTCAGTGTGCATCTGTTTGTCCTGTTTTCTTGATTTGCTTACAATTTTGACTGTGGCCTGGTGAACTTGAGGTCCTATTGTGCCTTCAGTCTAGGTTGTCGTTTGCTTACCGATGGGTGCTGGGAATGCCTGATGGAAAAAAAAGGGACAAAAAGGGGAGTGATGGGTGGCGTTTGAGCTTTATTGTTTTTGTACTGCATTCGGTATTTGTGTCACGACATGGTGGAACTGGGTGCTCGTCAACTATTGGGCATTTGGAGTTATCAGTATAATTTACGATCTGATACGATCTTAAAGCAGTATACAGGACACAGCTTTGTCTGGGCGGTAGACATACAGGAGGTAGATTGCCCAAGTACGACTTACGTCCCTTCCGATCTTGACTTACTTGATATGTTGCAAAGGAGAGACATCATCAGTACGTTTGGAATCAAAAGAAGGTGTAAGGGTGTGTTTGACTATTTTGGAAAAAACGGTCACGGATATGTTAAAATCAGTAGCACGGAAGGTTGAAGAGCCAGTAACTGACTACTTATTAATTATCTTAACCCTTTCGCACTTAGCAGGCTTGGCCAGCTGTGGCCCCCCATCCTTAAGACAAGGGCAACAACTCCACGAAAATTGAAGGGGTACCTAACTAAAAAAATTGTATAAAATCACAAACACAACCAAAAATTATGAAAATAGTATTTTCTTAAAGGAAAATGAATGAGCTAAATTACTAGTACAAAATTATAAGTGGAATAGAAGAGTATGAAATGATATGAGAGGTCTTTCTGAGATGCGTGTCTTGGATTCCGAGTCTAGATCTAGATCTAGACCTCGTATACTACATTTCTTCAACTCACGAAATTTCTGCCACTGACAAAGAGGTAATCCACACATAAGAAATACAACACATTCACAGAGATTGAAGCCTCTGGTGGAAACTTGAAAGCACCTAAAAGACTTTTCTTTGGGTGTTTTTATTTTGTTTTTGCCGTACTCATATCGGGCAGCTTTGCGCCCATGCATCCTAGAGACATGATGGCGTGTTTACAACTAAAATCTCCTCCGACTTTTGTTCCCGCTCAAAAAGTGACTCTTTGTGCTAGCGAAACAAGGAAAACACCATAGTAAACCGGAACTCTTCCTCAATAAAGATAGCTAAGTTAAACTTCTGAAGATAGTAAAAGTAGAAGCCTCCCGCAGCAACGAAACAAACACCCCCGTGGCGGGCGCTATAGGGATGAGCGGGGGTCACCGGCGCGGGCGCATACGGGCGCTGTAAGTGCGAAACGGTTAAATAAAAGTTGGGATATTTGCGATTGCGATTGAAGGAGGTTGCCTGGTTTCAGAGGTAAAAGTAGCGAGAAAATGGCCACTTCCAGAGTTGAGTATTCTTGGAAACTGCGAATTAAAATTTTTGTGTGCCTTTGATTAACGTTTTTCAGTTAAATCCATACAGAAATGTGTTTATAAATGGACATAAAAAAAAGGTGTTGAGCAATAAAAAAAAAAAATCAATAGAATTTGCTCAATGGGTGGAAAAATGTTGGTTTCTTTGATTTCATTATTTTGATGAGCTCCTGGTTTCACCACAATGCCACACATTTTAACCTTTCCATGCTTGGGTTTTCAAAATTCTTTCCTTTTTATATATGCTGTAGCACTTGAGGGCAAATGAAAGGAATTGAGTGTAAAAAGTTTCAAAATGTGTATTTTTGTCATGGGCGCTAAGAAAAGCATACAGCTCTTGCAGCTCTTTCAAAATTGGGATGTTATAATTTCTCAAGGTTCAAGGGGTTTCTCTTCCTTCTTATAATTACTATTGAAGCTGTCCACGACAACCACCTGTTAGGCAGGTGAAAAAGTGGTCGTCTTAAACAGGTGGTCCTCTTGGACGGTTTCATTATTATGTTGAAAAAAAAAAACTGAAGGGGGGATGGATTTGGGAAGTGGTCATTTGTGCAGGTGATTGTCTCGGACAGGTGGTGACCATTGAAGTAGGTTGGACTAGCATAACTGTTATTTTGCTCTAATTTATTTCTGGCCAAATGCGAATGTTATTGTGCCGTCTTGCTCAATTTGCTGTCAACCGCAGCTCAAATCCACTTCACCAAAGTGCTGTCTTTGTTGTTCATTTTGCGGTCTCTGTCCATCTGAGAAGATGTGGATGTTTATTGCTGTGGTAAGCTGTGGTACTTGTCGCAAATGCTACCTTGAGGGGGAGGTGTGTGTGTGTGTGTGTGTGTGTGACGATATCATGTTGGTGATGATGGGAATTTCTGTGAGTATTCATTCCAGCTTGCTGACCGTACATCCATCTCATCTGATTGAAGGTCTCCATTTGGTGCACTGTTGCTGCACTCCTCTCATTAATGCCAAAGAAATATTGGATGTTTGGTTCAGATGTCCTGTTCCTGTTTTGAGCAAAAGGTTTCATGTGAGGCTTGCAGAGACCTCACTCATGTCTTTTTTAGTGTGTTGATAGAAGAACAATGTTGTTTTTGTATTTTTATTTTTAGAATTCTGGATGACTGATTTATTGTCTGTGTCATGCTCTTTCGAAATTTATGCCTAGAGTATTTTAGCACTGGAAGGCGCATGTACAGTTGACCCTCTATTTAAGGAGCAGAAGCTCAGCTTGTGTGGAAGGTACTGTGGTCTGAATGTTTGGTAAATTAGATATAAAGGATACCTGGTTTGATATTCATTCAGTCGAAATTGTCCGAGATGGCTACCCATTGTTGAGAAGAAAAGTGGATGTCTTAGACAATTGGATGTCTTAAACAGTGCCATTAAAATATATAGAAGAAAATGCGCAAGGGAAATAGCGGGAAGTGGTTATTTGTACAGGTGATTGTCATGATAAATAAATAAATGTTGTCCTGAAATTGCTTCTTAAAGATTTTGTTCAGAGTGGTTCTAGGTATTCTGAAACTGGGTCAGCAGTGGATGTGTCGGACAGAAGCTTGCACATGTGCAAACTCACTCTATAGCTCAAAGCAAATTCTTTTTGTAGTTGAAGCTCACCACACTATAATATTGCCTGATTGACTCATTGTCCAGTTTTCCTCTAGAAAGTTTGCCATTTCACCTGTTTTCAGGAAGGAAACTTCAAGCGTCGTATCCAATAAATACAAATTGCTTCTATCTTTGTCTTGCAATGCTTGTGATTTGTGTACTGATAGTGATGGTTTTTTTTTTTTACACGTTTTCCGATGGAGAGGCGGCGTCAGTTTTGTAGTGGTTGGACTCTTCACAGCTGCTGGCACAAGACATGAGTAGGATTTTCTATCTCGTTACCATAGAACTACAAAGTTCTATATGTTCAGTACCTATCTTTGAGTTGAAACAAAAAAATTTTGAGTTCCACATGTCAAGCTTTTTATACCGGTACTTAAAATACCGGATAATCTTACAATTTTGAAAGAACAGATAGCTGGATTAATAACAACAGTAACAACATAGAACAGAGAGAGCATAAAAATGGTTTCTGACCTCATGACTCTAAACCAAAATGTCCAAAAATGTCAGATAGAACCTTGTAATTCTAAGCAATCTGTCTTCTATGGTATTGTATCCCACTCAGCCCTGGTTGGCCCCAGCTGGCAGGGTTGAAGTTGAAGCTGTCTGCCTCCCCCTAAATGAGCTGAATTTTGTCACCAGGAGTTACAGTCCATTACAATCTTCAACCAACAGAGAATGTTAGAGTGTGAGAGTGAGTGAGTGTTAGGGTGCTTGGGTGAACACATTTTCTCAATTTGTGTTCTGTTCTGTGTATGTGAGAAACAGAATAATAGAAAGAGAAAGAGAGGTGGAGATATAGAAAATAAGGATAGAGAAATAGTTGTTTCATCAGTTATTTGACACCACTGGTCATTTTGTGACTTAATCATAATAAACTGTTCTCCGCCACTCATTTAATTTCATAGGGAATTATCTTCCCCAGGGCTTGGAAGAACTATTTTATCATTTGGGTGGGGTGGGGGCTGGAGGAGCAGATATTACACACCATTGTGTGGCTGTGGTCTTCATTTGAACATTATTTTGCTTTTATTCCGCTAATAACTTTGGTGGGATATAAAGATATAATATTGGCTGTCTTTGAATACCTTCAACTCTTTCCTTTAATGTCACAGCATAATAAATTGTACAGATGAGCAATTCTCGTTAAGATTTTGGATTAACTGAGGGTAGTTTACTCTCGTTAGTGTCCAGTCCTTGTCCCCTCTTGAATTGAAGCGTACTCCCCGGAGCGATGCTACTGACTGAAGTGTCTTTAGGCTATTCCCAAAGGGGGGAACATTAACATGTTCTTATGCACAGTAGAATTGTAAATGGAATGATTCATCCATGTCATGCTCATAACTGTGCCGGAACTGCAACAGGGAACTGCTGCTTTTTCTTTCATAATCCTTACTTTATCATCATTTTTCCTGTACTTCTTTTGTATGTTTGTTACGCTCTTGTGACCAGCTATTTCTGGGGTGCCTTGATAGTCGAAACAGACTTTGTGCTGTTGAAGCTAGGGAGGTGAGCAGAGTAAGCCTGATTCCCTGTAAGAACTTCTCTGTTGACATCCACCCCTTGGCGCTCATATGACCTTATGCAGTTGTGGGCGCCGTAAGACCTCTACTAAAAATAAACTGAATTGAAGCGCATTGGTAAAAAATACAGATTATGGGTGGTTGGCAGATGCTCTGGTGTGGTTTGTTCCTTCTTTCCTGTCAAACATGTTTCACCCTTATCTCTTTTCCTTCTTTTTTGTGTTTGTTGCACTCTTGTAACACCACCAAGCTTCTGCACTTATATGACCTAATTGTGTTGCAAGTGCCGTGAAACTCTTTTTCACTAAAAATAAAAAGGACACCAAAAAAAGATTAGAGTTACTAGAGGCATGTGTGGGATCCGGGACTCATGTTAGTGAGTGGCCAGAGAGAACCCTGCATAGGACCTGCATTTTCACTATCCTTTTGGGTCTTTTTGTTACAATATCAGGTACTGTTTTTCCAAGCACAACATAAATTTGCTTATATATGTAGCTCTATGGTTCTTCTATATCCTTATATACACATACATACAAGACAAAAGATAATAGTACCTATGCATGTACATGGGTGTGATGGGTGTGTGTCCTTCATTTCGCCTCATGACATGAAATAAGCTCCCAGCCAGCTACGTTGTGTTCTTGGGAAAGGCACTTTATAAATTATACACCCTATTTGGCTTGGTCCTTTCGGAGATGGACATTAAATTTGGAGGTCCCGCCTCTTAAATAACCTAGTAGTGTTGATAGGTGGGGGGGGGGTATGTGTACCATTTCATATTTCAAGCCAGCTACGTAGTCTCTCCCAACATCTTTCTCCTGAATTTGATGAATGATCCAACTTTTTTTAGTTGTATGAAGCAGCTTAAGTGCATAGGTTCCCAGTGATGTTTGTAACATAAACAGATGTGTGCCCGGAGAAGGGTCCCAGTTGTTGGAAATTTTGGATATTGAAATAAGAGCATATTCTTGTAGAAAATTCTATACAGCGCACCCCTGATAAAAATTTTTTTCAAATATCTTGAGTAGTTTTAAAGATATACCACATTTTGTAACAGGCTTAATAAAAATACAAAATTTGGAAAAAGACTCAAATTTCTAGCACATTTTTAACCTTTGGTGAAGTACAAAATGTTGCAAAAATAACTCATAAAGAATATTTAGACTTAAAATATTATAAAATCCTTTCAATATGTTATTAAGAAATGGTTAAACGTGTGTTTTCTGATGGAACTAAATTTTTGACCAAGTGCGACTTTTTTGACTTTTCTGACTTTTCACCGCGTTGCTCAAAAATAGCTTTGCGGACAACCGGGACCTTTCTCCAGGAACACACACATTTTTGCATGCCCACAAACCTGTATTTGACTGCTTGGCGCGAGATGCCATATTCCATTTTGAAAAGTGACATATGGTGGAGTCTTACTTGGAGCAGATAGTATGTCTATCATTTGCGAGCGCCGTAAAACTTTTACCTAACTGAAAGTGAACTGAAACCTATATAATGTGCTAATGTACGGTATAGAGATGCAGTCTCCTTTCTGTAACAAACTGGTGTGGGGAGATGAGGG